TATAATTGACTAGTTGGAAATATCCCCGGGTATGTTATTTAGTCGTGGATGGATTTTAAAACTAGCATGGAGAGGTTTAGAGAGTAAAACTAACTTTTATAATTTGACGACGACCAAGATGGCGATTACTCAATATATTTGTATATTTTCATACATACATACAATTTTTGATCCATACCACATATTTAATTTTTTAGTATTCTACTAAATTACAGCTTTTAATCTTAATTTAGTAATTGGTTTTATATAATTTTATCGCATGTGCTTATATGTATAATATCAGCGATTGTCTTTGTATCATGCATATATCATACACTATTAGTGTTTGATATTAAATTAGTGTCTGATATTTAATGGCAATGTATTGATTTCCGTAAAAAATGAGAGCGGACGTCAATCAGGTTGTTTATTATGAAAACAGAAACATACTGGTAATTTTAGTACTATTATTGTCTCGTTTATGACAGTACATATCTGTTATCAGTATCTCATCGAATGAGTAATAAATTATACTTATCTTCAATGTACACGTGACCCGGTTCATGTCATCACGACTCATTGGTATCACAAATAATAATTGTACATTGATTGCCTGAACGATTTTAAGTCGTTGATATAACAATTCTTAACATCCTAACTGCACTTGTAAACTGTGTTGTTGATCCCGTATGTTGTTGTACTGATTGTACGAGTTTAAAAAGCTATAGCTGCTGACAAAAATTAAAATACATGTGAAATGAACAGAAATAGTGTTTTCCAACCATACAAATATGTAGGTAACGATGCCGTAACAGTTTTAGGTTTAATTTTAAACCACAAAAACTAGCAGGAATGCTTTCAAATTAAGCAAAATTACAAATTATCAGAACAAAACTATTTGTTCTAGAAATACCATGTCTGAGTTAACTGAGAATTAATCCACTGACGCTTACCGGAATGAACCGTATTGTTTTATTGTTATTGTACTTTTATTAAAATAATTCGGTTTAATTGATAGGCGTTGAAATAACTTGATGGTTAACTGTTTTACCGTGACTAGTTTCTATAGTCGATTTCACCAGTTTTGAAGAATTTTCTACAAACCCTATCGTGGCTAGCGTGCATGTGTTATATAACTCCCTTTGTGCAGACTGGCTGATGATCAGATTAGAAAAAAAAACTATTGTACCTGTTCCATCCTTGCCACAAGAAAAAAAGATCCGTTTTTTAAATATATAATTGAATTGCAGTTTTGGTTGAAAATGCTATGTTTGTCTAGTGAATATGAACTACAGTGAGTTGAATTTATTACTCTGTTCTAGTTCTCAACTGAGCAGCATGTCCAATAGGAAGCTATACAGTCTGTCCGTACGTAAACAATTCCAGCGATCGACAGTGTCAAAAAAGTTGAAACCAAGTCGAGAGTGCACGTGATTTAGCAGTCGGTGAGTCCACTATTCGTGGGTAGGTAAAGAATGAAGAAAAGCTGAGAAAATTTGTTTCGAAGTTGACCAAGAGACTGAACAGACAATTATCCGACAATAATGACCTCGATAAAGTTTTGACGCTTTGATGCTTTTCAATATAGAAAACGTACTACAAATAAATGTGTGTGTATTTGTGCTTTTTCTCCATTGTCAATGCATGAACTCCCTTTCACAAGACCCCTCGGTATGTCCCGACCCTCGATAAGTCGCGGTGTCAGAAAACGTCCGTCGTAATTAGTTTTTTTCAAAGTTACTAGGAAAGTACTCTTTTTTTTAGTACCAAACAGTACACATTTACACAAGAGCACAACGTTTCATTCATTATTTTAAAATGGTACAGTTTTAAGCAGTAACATCGTGAATTCAAAGTAAAGATTTTCCGCGAGCTTTACTATGATATGTATATGAATCAAGTTCAATTTCTAGTGGTCATTTTCCCATTCATTGTTTATTTTCCTTCTATACAAAAGGAGTTACGTAAACTGTGACAACACACAACTCGCCAAATTCGCATTATTACGAGCATCAGACATTGGCAAGAATATGGTCAATATGATGACGTACTTTAAGTATTAGTTAAAGCATGATATATTTCCGCGTATGTTTACTAACAGTTATACAACGATTACGGCGCGTTTAATATTTTCTATTATAGACAATTTCACCAGTTTTCAGTAAAGTTTCTATAAAAGTGTGCATTCGTATGCAGGAAAACACCAAGCTGATGATTAGATCAAGGAAAAACGACACGAATGTACATTGTGCACCTAAAACATGCGTGTGTAATCACGGGCGACTCGTTACATCTACTCACTGATCACCTACTAACTCAATCAGTCGAGTGTCTGCTTTCTAGATAAAAGCAACGTGGTTCGAATCGTGCGTCTTTCCACAAGAGCAAATATCTAGTGAGTTACACTTCCAATGACGTTCACTACAAAAGAAACACTTTTGACTGAATTCTGGTTATTGATCAGTAATTGTAGACACTTTGCAACAAAAAAACTGTCCAATTTATTTTCAATCGGGCAGTTTTCTACATTCCTGATTGTTTTATTTTATTATTATTAAGTCCACATATTGAGTGTCCTCCATTAAGGCGTGGATAATATTGGTGAATCATATGCATTGTTTCTCATTTAAACTACGCTATTCTATTCTATTCCACGTTGTGTTACTCACATCTCGCGATATGACCTGTCAAGTAAATATGTCAGTTCCGCTTGTTAGTAAATCGCCCATTTAACCACTACTACAATTGTTATCGTGTTTTCCAGAGCTTCCTGAATACCATCACAATTACAATGATTTGTCTAAATGTAGCTGTTACAATGAATGCATTTCTTTTTGTGTGTTACGAATAGAAATAATGGGAATCACAATGCATTCAGTTTTGAAACAGATGGATGAACATAAATGTTATTTCATTCTTCATGGTTCACGCACGCAATCTTACAAAATACCGGTATATCTAAGCCAATATAAGTGTTGTACAGTGTTCAGTCCGAATATCGTATCGCTGCTGACTGGTAGACACACTTCGCCTGAGTTCCTGGACCAGTGAGTAATATTTGTTTTCCTTGTTCCGTGTGTTCATCACATAACATTTTATGTAGCACATTGATATTTATTTTGTGTTTCTTGCGGGAATGCTTTCTATTATTTGTTTTGAATATTCATAATATCACAAATGTATTGGCAGATAATCGTAGTGTCTTTATGGGACCGTTTGCTTTTCACTACATTTCAAAATGTTGTTTCTAATAATTGCTGTCATCGCACATGATTGTGAAACAATTCATTACCTCTTAACTCGTTTATACGACAGCATTTTATCTCGAACCGATTTTATTCTGATACACGGGGTTGAGATCCAAGACAACTTGGCCCTGACATTGCCCGACCTCCGTAGAAACGAATGGGGTCGAAATCAGAACATTTATCGCTTTCTTCAAATTACTTTTTTATTGAATCACTGCGAATCGGCAGTTGACACTGTTTTTGTAAACTACTTTGTATATTCTGCTGAATAGAAAGCTCAGCGTCATTTTGTGTAATTGTTGATTCGTTGGAGATCGATTGTTATTGCCGGTTACTTTATTTCGCCCGCCATGAGTGATCGCAAGATTTACACCACAATGAACAAAATAACCCCACTGCCCCAGGAGACTACGCTGTTCGGTTATGAACGAACCGAAAGAAATTTTTCTTTCGTTGGGCCCAGCGGGGTAACCGCACAAGAGACAATAATTCGAGGGAGATGTAATAGTTCGCTTTCGATATAATGATGCCGTGTAAACCTGGCACAGCATACCCTTCGCTCCTTCTGTGTATTCAAGTTCGTAAAAATACAAATATAATCGTCCACTTTGACTTGTTTCATATATTGCGAATAAAGTATTGGTGTTTGAAAGCGTGGCCTAATTTCGTATATCAATCGTTCCTACAAAGTATCTACCATCTTTAGTTTAGTCATTGTCTCCATACATGAGTTCATGATGATTTTTAATTGTAACATCATTTGATATATTTAGGTTCCCTGGACTAAAATCCACATAATATCGTTCTTTAGAAAATATTATGAGGTATGATAAACGACTTGGTGTGTGTTTGTTTTTTAGAATATAATAACAGTTGACTTGTCTTGTCTCCCACTCCCACATCATTTAATTACGAATGTGCATATGTGCACCCGCCACATGCTGAGTGCACCCTGGGGAAGGGTGAACGGTTTGCCCGTGCAATAAAGCAAACGTTTTTTTAAACATACAAAAAGAAACTAAAAAAAAATTCCATAAAATATAGAATACACTCTAGAAGTCAGTGCAGTCTAAAGTATAAGCAACTGATCAAAATAAACTAGCGATATGCTTCATGGGGTGTAGCGACGCGTAGACAACGCTGTTACGTAACAAGTAAACATAGGACAAGCAAAATAGTAATTTCTACCTCTACTACGTATTGTAAGAAAGGCTATTTTCATTAACAACATGTCGAGAATATGTTCATTGCAACAATTGAAGCATTCATATCATATTATAATATTTTCAGTAATGTATGTACTTATATCGGCAAAAAAGAAACTTACGTCTTTTAGATGTTATTGACACAGCCAGAGAATGTTGATAATCAGCATATTTGCTGTTTGTAGCGAAATTTAGTGGTACTATTATACTCACGGTTGATCGATGTACTAATATTTTTATATTCTCAATATTGTATGCAATACATCTCGATCAATGATTAAATTAAAGTAATTATTTTACTAATATAAGCTTGTGTTTTTATTCAAGAATTTTGCATCATGAATTTTGCTGGATTACTGGTTATCTACGTCGGCATCATCTGTGTAAGTACCCGGATGTCATAATATGACTCAGCGACATATCGGTTAC